CCACCGACTAGTTTTCTATTTCTAGTGGAGACAGGGTCTCACTCTTGCTCAGGCTGGTCTTGAACTCCTGAGTTCAGGTGATCTACCCACCTTAGCCTCCCAGAGTGCTAGGATTACAGGCATGAGCCACCAGGCCCAGCCTTGTGGGTGGTTTTTTTTAAGAGACAGGGGTCTCTATATGTTGCTTACACTGGACTCAGACTTCTGGTTAGCTGGGACTACAGGCTCCTGCCACTTTACCCAGCTAAATTTGTTTTGTTTTAAGTCACAGAGTTTGTGGTAATTTGTTACCATAGCAATAGGAAATAAATACGTCTTCTAGCATACCTTACAATTTATTCACTTAATATGTTTATGTTTTTCTTTCTCTTCTGTTAGAAGAGAAAGCTTCTCAAAGTAGGAATTTTTGTGTTTTTCTTCAGTAAAGTCTCCCAAGCACCACTCTCCCCCCAAAAAAAATCTTGGCAAAATGTAGGTGCGCAATAAATGTTAATGTACGGATGAATGGATAGATGTAGAAAGCCAGAGAAAGGGAAAAGTAAAGCATGACATCTGGTATTTATTGACTGGGAATCTGATGGTTATATTCATGCACAGAGAGAACAGAGAAGGAGGAGGGACAGTTTGGGGAGAATTAGAAAATGAAGATGAGTTCATTTCCGGGTATGTTAAGATTTGAAGGATACATGTACGGAAAATGTAAAGGGAAGTTGTCCTCCCCCCGCCCCCCTTTTTTTTTGAGACAGAGTTTCATTATGTTGCCCTTGGCAGAGTACCATGGCATCACAGCTCACAGCAACCTCAAACTCTTGAGGCATTCTCTTGCCTCAGCCTTCCAAGTAGCTGGGACTACAGGCATCATGCCCGGCTATTTTGTTGTTGTTGTTGCAGTTGTTATCGTTGTTTAGCAGGCCTGGGCAGGTTCCAAATCAACCAGCCCTGTTGTACGTGGCTAGTGCCCTAACCGCTGAGCAACCGCACCCAGCCATCCCCCTTTTGTTTTAGAAAGCTTCTCTCCAGGTCCATTAGCTACACATGGGTAACCTGCTCTGGGAGAAAAAGGGAGAGGGGAGAGGGACTGGGAGTAATTCTAGAGAGCTGGCAGAATCTAGACCAGACTTCTGCAGGCTCAGGGCAGTTGAACTTCCAAATCCTGAAGCTTAAGGCTCCTAAGTCTTCAGGACATGCTGGGTCACAATCTATAGTTCCGCAGGTCCAATATCACAACAGAGTCCCTAAAAGGCATCCTTAGAAGATGGTACAGTCAGCGCAAGAGGCACCACCATCCCCTCCCTTCCCAATCCAGGGGCGCTCAAATGCTTCTCTGCCTTTTATTTTCTTATGGGACCTTATTCAACAAGTATTTATTGCCTGCTCCTGGGACCCATAACACTGCACTGGACACCGAAACTCAGAAGCACGAAGAAGTCCATGATCCTGCCCTAACAGGACTTCCATCGTAGTTGGGAAAGCAGAGGCTTACAAAGGTGAATAAAAATACAAGCATCTGCAGATGGCACAGTCCAGCGGGCGGGGCAGCTTACTGTAGCTGAGGTCATCCAGAAAGACTTTGTGGACTTTGTACATTGCTAGTGGGTCTTTGAGGGATCGGAGAACATTGAAGGAGAGGAAGGACGGCTTTTCTGATTCCGAGGAACTGCAGGAGCAAAGACCAGCAGATGCAGACACAAGGTCTGTTCCAGGAAAGCATTGGGGATCCCGCCCAGGAGCCAACCACCTCTGGGACACTTTAATACCGCAAACTTCCAGTGGAGAAATAACCCCGCCCTCCTCTTTTCAAATAAAACCACAGAGGCGCAGAGCTAGAGCGCCCGCCTCCTCGGCGGGGGCGGGGGTGGCGGACATATTTGGTCCTGGCAGAAAAGTTGGAAACAGTTGGGACCACTAGCAGTCAGGCTGCCCCGCCCAAGAACATGAGGGCAAAAGAACTCTGGCAGGGAGCGGCGAAAGCAAACAGCGCAGAGAATCTGTGAGGCGTCCTGCAAAGAAGAGGCTGTTAAGGAGTCGTCCACCTTCTGCCCTCATCCGAGATGGCGGCTCTGTGGACGCTCTAGCCGGCGGTCCTCGGCTCCCCGGAGGGGGCGGCGGCCTTGCCTGCGGCTGAGGTAGCTGCAGTGTGGGTCCCAGCGAGTGTCTCTCCGCAGCTGCTCCTCGTGGCTTGGGGGACGCCGAGGGTGGGGATCTCCGGCCTCTCTCCGCCAGTGCTGGGCTTCTTAGCACCTTCCTCAGCCAGACCCCTCGGTGGGACTCGGGCCTCGCGACCGCCGCGATTGGAGCCGCTGCGGAGTCCAGCCCCGCGTGGGGCCGGCTGTAACAGCGCCTCGGGCCGGACGATGCCTAAGAAGCTGCTGCTGCTCCCGCCGCTGTCCGCGTCCTCCGCCTTCCGCGCGCCGAGAGCCCGCCCAGTAGTCCCGCCAGCCATGAACGCCGCCCGTACTGGCTACCGGGTCTTCTCGGCCAACTCCACGGCCGCCTGCACGGAGCTGGCCAAGCGCATCACCGAGTAAGCGGGGCGGCCGGTGGGGCGGGCCGGGGGCTGGGGACGGCGGCGCCTCGCCCTTCACACCCAGGAGACCCCTCCCCAAGGTCGTCCTTGCGCCTCTTGTACTCCACTCGCCCGACCTCCTGCACCTGGGGGAAAGCGTCTGAGAATCCTGTCGTGTCGGAGCTGGAAAGACCCTTGGAGGAGGGAGAAGCCACCCTCTGGCCCCCAGTTTTGCAGCTGAGACATTTTAGACAGACTCTTGGTGACTTAAACCCCCTACCCGCCGTTAACTGGACCGCTGGCCGCGCTTTGGTCTCCCCACTCCCACATCCCTGGGCTGGGTGAGCATTCTGTAACCCCCAGAGTGTGTGTTTGGAGAGAGACCGTCGCCATTCCCAAGTCTCACTTAAGCAAACCCGCAGGTGCAGCAACAGGGCAAAGGTGTGGGGAAAGGCCATGAGAAGCTGATATAGGTCAGGGTTGGTGGTAGAAACCATAGGCCCGTGTTTTGTAAGCCAGCCTTACATCGGATCAATCACTTGGACGTAGTCTTTGCCTTTCTGTGTCTTTTTAACCAAAAGACACCTGTGGTCTCAAGTGGCATTTGGGACCTGGCAACTCTGAGGTGCCTTCCCAGTCTTGCCACAGTGACTGTGACACTGAGCAAGACACTTGATTTTCCTGAGCTTGGTTTGTAAAGTGGGAATGACTTTTCTCTGCTGGCGAGGATCTTGTGAGCATGACCAGGATAATATAGATCAGGTAATAGCAGAGCAGGAGCTTGTAGTGGCCCTCTGGATAATAACCTGTTTTCTAAATGACCACTTTTCTAGTCTGCTCTTTTGTTGGAGAATCCCACATTCCTGATAAAAGGAAGAGCTTTGTAGACCTTTTCCAAATAAACCTGTTAGAAATATAGGACATAGGCCAGGGTGGTGGCTCACGCCTGTAGTCCTAGCACTCTGAGAGGCTGAGAGAGTGGATTGCTTGAGCTAAGGAGTTGGAGACCAGCCTGAGCAAGAGTGAGACCCAGCGTCTACTAAACAACGGAAAAACTAGCTGGGCGTTGTGGCCTGGGGCGACAGTGTAAGGCTCTGTCTCAAACAACCAAAAAAGAAAGAAATATAAGACATAAAATGAACAACTCGTTTTTTTAATATTTAAAGTAATTTTTACATTGTAAACAATTTACATTAGAGTTACTCTGATTTTTTTCAGGGTTGACAAATCATTGTGTGAATATATTTTAATAAAAGTCTAGGCAGGAATGTAGAAGAAATGGGGTATTTGAGGTTTGTTTTTTTTTTTTGCTAAGTGTTTTTTCAGTTTTAAATGAAATTAGAAGAATGTTAAAAAAAATCCTTTTGCAGATTCCTACCTAGTTTCTATTTCTAACCCCTGATAATTTGTCTTTTGGGGCCAACTAAAACACTAATTTTAAATATAAAGCTTGTATTTGTTTATATTGGGTCGAATTGACCACAGATGGCCTCTCTGAGAGAAAGCAGAAGGGAAAGAGGGCGCATTTTAAAAAGTTGGTGATTTTTTTGTTTTTGTTTTAGGTTCTTCCCTGCCAAATTCCAAAAAGGTTTTAAGTTACTGTAAATAATAAATATTTGTAAAGACTTTATATTTCATTTGTTGAATTTCTCAGCAAGATTTTATTTGAAAAAGAGTTGTTTATTACTAAACATTTTGATTATGTTTCTCAAGACTTTTTGGTGTTTTTTTTTTTTTTTTTT